TTAAGAAAAAACTCAGTAATAGTTTACCCGGACCGGGAATCGAACCCGAAACCCCTTGCCCGGCAGTCGCACTTGCGACCACTCGGCCAACAAGGCAGTTGTTGAAAACTTAATGAATATTTAGATATAAGGATTGGATCTTCGATTTACTGAAATTTTCAGTAATAATTATCAAATACAGACTATTTGTGTAAAGCATGTCCTCTATTACACGTGGTTTATGATACCATTGTTGAGAAGTGAATGTTGCTTTCCTTTCGTGCAATATAAAGCTTGATGTAACATTTTATACTCAATATTCGAGTAAAACTAATAGCAATAAAGTTTTGTCCCTATAGTCAAAAACGACTCTCAACTGAACTATTCTCTTTACTTTTTAATAACTTGTTGTCATCTAAAATTACAGGTATTTGTACGAGTTCTTGTACGGATGGTTGGTATCAGCTCTGGGCCGCGCGGAGAACCTCTCCGGCGACTCAGGACGCCGCGACAGTCGCGACTCTCGACGTAGGAAGACCAAGAAGCGGGTGCGACCCTACGCCAGAGAGGGACTCCTTTGCAACGTCATGCAGAACTTGTGCGGGGGATATTATAAGGTACGCTATCTGGAGTTTTAGAACTTATAATTACTTTTTTTTCCTACATTAAATTATATAACGTACATCTTACAATAAAGAACTGATTTTGACATGATTGTAAATATCAACTGCCTCGTTGGCCGAGTGGTCGCAAGTGTGATTGCCGTGCAAGGGGTCTCGAGTTAGATTCTAGGGTCGGGAAAGTATTACAGGGTTTTTATAAAATAACTCAGTAGTAGCACAGAGTCTGGAAATGTGCCCGGTATATGGCAATAGGCTCACCCCCTATTACATGGGACTCATAACATAAATAATGAAAAGTGGGTGTTACTTCTGTGTGCACCTCTGCATACCCTTTCGGGGCTAAAGTCGTGATGTTATGTTATGTTTAAATGACGACAATATACACGACCAGTTCCTGGTTCTAGTTCACAAAATCTAATACAAGGTAAAACCCCGTCTTATGAATGCAAACTAATGCTTCAAAGTAACTCAGAAATGATTTATTTTTTGATAGCATAGAAGTATATGCTATCAGTCACATCAAAGCTTACCAATTTCCTGATGGTCAAATGCCACTATAAACTATGTATATAAGTCATCCAGCCAACTTAGCTTGATACGAATCAATAATTTTTCTTATGCTACTACTTATTTTCTTTTACCTCCTTAGTTAATTCATTGTGACTTCAAAGGTTACATTTTTATACCGACACGTGTATTCAAAGACCCTTTCTCATTTTTCAGGCTCTAGTCGCATTCAAGCTACAAGGTAAGATTCGCCAGCCGCAGTCGGAGTTCGACAACGAAGCAGTCCGCTACAAGCACCGCTTCGCTCCACTGTCAGTACTGACCCCGCCACAGGTGCACTATCACGAGTTCTGCGAGATGACTCAGCCTCTTCAGTGAGTATTTATTTCATGAATAACTAATATTAGTTACTTTTTTTTTGTTTATGATGACGGCGGGAACCCTTCAAAAGGCGTCTAGCTTTCTAAGTATAAAAGACTTAGGAAGATTGGGTTTTTACCTCACTAAAACCACCCCGCTGACTCGTTGGCCGAGTGGTCGTAAGTGCGACTGCCGGGCAAGGGGTCTCGAGTTCGATTCCCGGGTCGAGCGAAGTATTACTGGGTATTTTTAAATATTCTTAGTAGTAGCAAGGAGTCTGGAATTGTGCCCGGTATATGGCAATAGGCTCACCCCCTATTACATGGGACTCATAACATAAATAGTGAAAAGTGGGTGTTACATTGTACAGTGGCATAATGTGCACCTCTGCCTACCCCTTCGGGGACAAAAGGCGTGATATTATGTTAAAACCACCCCGGTGGCCACCCTCAGCACCTATAAGGGGCACTGGACCTTCCAATAGACCTACTCCAGAAGCTAATGTTAGTTACATCACAATTATTGTATTGCATTGAACACGGATAGATAGATACTAAACTGTCTATGACTCATTTGAGATCTCTTATATATACCTATTGGAAGTGGCTGATTATAATAACACTCTTCAACAGAGTCTTTAAGTATAATCAAGCGTATCTATACATTGTTCTAACTTATGCATACAATATTGGATAATAGATCAAAGAGATTGTAAAACATTTCTTTTTTGGAATATCTTACTCGTTCTTCTCCATTCAAATCTACATTTTGGAACGAGCACCTAGTTTCACTGACGGACATACTGACAGACTATTATTTATTTTGTATTTGTTGATGTTTCAAAAGTACTAAATTATGGTTTAATTGAAATAAATGCTTTGGATTTGACTTTGACTATTGAAGGATTGTGGCTGACGATGATGACTCTTGAATTTAACTCATTCATTCTACTTAGAATGAAGTCTCAGTGTTACTATTGATAGTTTTTAAAGAGCCGCGTTAGTTAATATTCTTTTCTGTTATTTTCAGATATGAAAACCCTGTAATATTGTATCTCGGTGGCTGTAAGCACTTTCAGCAGGCCCGGTCCTTACTGGAAACTATCACGACACCAGATCAGGAGGTAAATTTACACATATCTAACTACTATTAACTTATTTGCACTGCTCCTAGACAGGTTGCAATCGAAGTATTATTGACTGTCGAAATATTATAATCTTTTCGATTTATTCATGTAACTTTTTGAAGAGGAATTCGACTAGTTTCAAGCCAAACTAGAGGCTCATATAAGCTGCATTCCGCGGTATCAACACCATCAACAGCCTATAAGTGGCCACTGTTGACCAAAGCCCTCTTACATGGAGAAGGTTTAATCATTAATAACCACGCTTGCTCAATGCGCATTGGCGATTTCAAACTTATAATTAGAAATTGTAAGCCCAGGTTTCCTCACGATGTTTTCCTTCACCGTTGTGTCAGTGGTGTCTGTAATCTTAGAAAGAACATATAACTCGAAAAATGTCACATTAGTACTTACAATAGCATAACACAACAAAACGCTTTTTATCCCCGAAGGGGTAGGCAGAGGTGCACACAGAAGTAACACCCATTTTTCACTATCAATGTTATGAGTCCCATGCAATTGGGGGTGAGTCTATTGCTATATACCGGGCACAATCTCAGACTCCGTGTCATTTCTGTTTTTTTTTAAAACCCAGTAATATTTTTCCCGACCCGGGAATCAAACCCAAGACCCCTTACCCGGCACTCCGCAGTCGCACTTGCGACCACTCAGCCAACAAGGCAGTCTTTTGGTTGCATTTACATTGGTACTTTCCTATGTAAGTTAAACCTACAAGCCTCCACGAGGTTCCGAAGTATGCTGAAGTATTATTAATATTTCTGAATGTATTTTCGATTTTTCAAAAGGTTTTTAAGATCTATCTCTAACTAAACTCCATTTTAATTTGGCTCTTAACATTACTTTAAAAAAGTGGGTGTGTTAAATTGTACCTATGAAATCGATAACAATATTACTATCAGTGTTATCTATATCGAAGATTAAATGATATGCATGATTTTTACTCCTTATTGCAATTAGGGATGACAAGCAGATTTATTATTGATGGGCGTGTGTCATCGGAGTAAAGAATTTGTGTTATTTCTACTTCATAAACTCAGCTAGTCTGAGTAACAATGTCTGTTGGACGATTTGGCTACTAGAGGTAAAATTGTCACGTATTGTTCCGCGCGCGCCTCAAAGAGCTATCAGACCACCACAGATGGGGCCCAACAGGGTCGACGCCGATTCGGAGTCGCGGAAACCTAACGGGTTACCGGGGCTCCGGCTCGACGTGCAGGAGAAGGAACGGGGTGGTTTTTAGTCAGTAAGAGTCTGACACTCCCTCCCGCCTCACCCAGGCGGGAGCAGTCATTCGATGATTTCCCTCCTTAAAAAAAGAAATAGAATTGTGTTATATTTTTTTACAAGAGGTGTCAAAATTCCATTTGTGGCGTCTAAATCAACCAATAGTTATATGCCAATAGATAGTTTCTTCTCAAATGAATACCAGTTTTAATTTTTAGTCCAAAATATTTGGGTTGAGTACGAATTCGATATTAGTTCCGTGTAGTTTGTCGAAAAATGTTAATTCGTTCAGAGGGTTTTGATTATCATCGGTTATTTTCGACCATTAATAATCTCATATCTGTTCAATGTTAGAGTACAATATTCTTCATTATGTCAAATAAAATCATTGCTTGCCTCTAGCACCTACCAATTACTCTTCATTGCATCACCCAATGGTCAGAATAGAAGAAAATGCCTGCGGCATTAAGTCCATCTATTGTACACTTTGAGCATGAAGCATATTAAATAAATAAAAAATATATATACTAAGTCTTTTTAATCTCATTGTTTCAGGTACAGGACCTGCTAAAGGTAGCAAAAACAAACTTTGTAGTATTAAAATTATTGGCAGGAGGACATAAACGAGACTCCACCGTGCCACCGGAGTTCGACTTCTCAGTACACAGACATTTTCCTATCATAAAGTTAGTGTAAGCTATTAGAATTTTCAACACAATTTTATATTAATTTTTGACTCGAACAAAGCAGCTATGGATGTCGAGGAAGCTGTCTGTCTAGTCCCCCCTTCTGCAAATCAGGTATTCTTTACATTAATGTACAGTTTATATTAATTGGTCAGATTTGTGTGTATATTTCCTATTTCATTCATTTCTAGGTTTAAAGTATGAAGATTTTTACATGCTATAATAGTTTATTTATCAGAATTATAATATAGAAGTACATATACAATTGACACGGATAATGCAACATTATGTTATTGTAATAAATTAATTTGTATTGTGTAATTATATCGTGTGTATAGACCTTAAATCAAGATGGTTTTTAAATGTGCAATAAAAATCATTAAAATATCATTTCGTGTTTTTGTTTTACCAAATGATCACGCATATAAATATCAAAGCATTTACTAATTTATATAGAGGTACTAATGCGATTAGCACAAGTATTAGTTTACGTTAGATACTTTATTGGTTGTTGTCCTCCTCGTCGGTGTCTGCATCAGAAACGTCCGTGTAACAGTCCGCTTCCAAAGTCTTTACCCTCAAGAAGTCCGAGGATTGTGGACCTGTAATAATAACAAGTAAATTGTAAAACAATGATTTTTGAATCCATTATAATAGTTCGCTGCCCTATGCCCTAAACACTGGGGCCTATTCCGTTGGCTGTGGGCCCTATTCAATTAGTCCTGGGGCCTATTCCGTTGGCTGTGGGCCCTATTCAATTAGTCCTGGGATCTATTCCGTGGGCCATATTTTGTAGGCTGTTGGCTCTATTCCGTTGGCTGTGAGCCCTATTCTGTTGGCTGTGGGTTCTATTCCGTAGTCCGTGGGCCCTATTCCGTTGGCAGTGGGCCTTATACCGTTAGCTGTGGGCACTATTCCGTTGGCACTGGGTCATATTTTGTAGGCACTGGGCCATATTTTGTTGGCACTGGACCCTATTCCGTTGGCATTGTGCACTATTCCGTTACCATTGTGCACTCATAATAATTGACTCTAACTACCTTCTAACGTAATATTATTTATCACGATATTAAAAACAATATCGAAATTAGTCACCAAGCATAACTAAAGTCAGAATGATCAAGTCATAATGACTCATGACATGACAAGACAGCGTAATAGGATTACTGGTAAACCTAGCCTTGTGTAACATTCAAATTCAATTAGGTACACACGTGACCTTCAGCTGATCAGGCCATAACCTGCAATGATGACCTAGTTCTATCTAAGGGACGCTGAGATTAGGACATGCCATAATATGACACATAACGTTTCGTCTTAGGTATACTTGGTAAGAGCAAGACAGAAACATTAAGGTGGGTCCAGGTCTACACTAGACGAATCAAGCACGAGCGACCTCGAATTCGTCGTTTGCGGTGTCAAGTGAGGACGGACAACGATCACTGTTCTCAAACGTGGTTTCCGCAGTGAGTACTGCGAGCACGAAGCAGATTCATTTGTGTTTGTCAAAAAACCGACAACACGCGGAACCCAGCCGACCACTAACGAAATGCTAGCAGCGCGCTATTTCGAGGCATGTATTGTAAGTCGGTCCACACTAGACGAATTATGTTCGGCGCATGATCGGCTCTCCTAGCGTAGACGCAGCTTTAACACCCAATAGAATTTACATCACGCATGATATGCTGCAAATATCTACAAAATTTCTTACAATTTAATTCTGTTACCTCTCTAAACCATCGCCTAAATGGTCACAACAAAACAAAATTAGGTAATCGTTCGTTGTTGTGCCCTATTTTCAGTCAATCAGAATAAATAATTATCAGGTCAACTTTCTACAATGGGAGGTAATAAGAAAGCAAAATCTACCTATATAGGTACAATATGTAACTAAACGAAACGCTGACAAAAATAAATTGTTTCTACAATTTTAATCGTTTTTTTACGTTATTCATGCAACATCAGTCCTGAGCAGTTGAATACAACTATACCTAATCACAAAAAAAGAACTTTTTTTTTGTGATAATAGTTGTATTTCTTATATTTATGAAAAAAAACTTGTTTTTTACCATCACCTTTCATCACGTTTTTCGGCAGCGTTTCGTACCCTGTATACGAAAGCAAGCATTACGTTGGAATCATACAAAGTAATAGTTTTTCTTACCTTCCGTATAAACAACATTCGCCCCAAAGTCTTGTATCGGTGTCGGCGTGATGGACCGGTCATCGCGCCCTCCTTCAGCATTGTCTTCGTCATCATCATCACTCTCTATTATTATCTCTTCTTCTTCACATTCCTCCACCTATAAACGTTAGAATTAGTTTTGCGTTCATTCTGCGTTAATCAACGACAGAGACAAACACTTAACAACTTTTTTGTTATGACAGCTGGGGGGTCAAAATCGTCGTCTGGCGTCTAGCTTTTTGGAGAAAGAGTGTGGGATTTCTACCTTATTAAAACCACCCCGGTGGCTATCCTCGGCCACAGTAAGGGGCACCGGGTCCCATAATAAACCTACTCCAGAGTCACGGCACAGCCCTAGAGACACATGGCCTCTTGAACCTGGCTGTGAGATAAAATTAGACCTATGGTTTCTTGAATACCAATATAGCTATAGTAGGAGATAGATACATAAGAGGTAGGGTGACGTTTAAATCACAACAATCCGCGTAGTTATTATATTATAGGTACGTAGTGATCATAAATAAACTGACTAACCTGTATATCAAAAGACTGCTGCTTATTCTTATAGTCAAGGAGCGTGGAAGACGACGACCTTTGTTTCTGGTGAGCCAAGCGCTTTATATTGCTAGGTGATGGGGTACCCTGGTCGGGATCGCCGTCGCTGACCATGTACTCCACATCCAAGTTCAAAGGCAGACTAGGGTTTCCAGACACCTTTCGTCGACGCAACTGGCATTCCGGTTCTTCTGTCATGTTTTATGGCTGAAATTACGAAATAATTCCCATTGCAATTGGCTAGTTTCCTAGGTTTAAAATAGATTGTTTCAACTTTTCAATGCAATAAATAATTAAAAAACAATCATACTCTCAAACATTGATTTGACAATTTACCTACTTTTGGATATTTCTTGCTAATTTTAAGGAAATAAGTAAGTATGCTATTTGACGCAGAAATATGATGACGTCATAAGTTGCGATCCAATACAAAATTCATAGAAAAGTATCGTTTTTGACATTTCAATAAAAGTATTGAATTTACCTCTATACCTGTCGACTACCGTATTGATGATTTTTCAAGGGTGGTTGGTATCAAAGAGTATAATAAGTATAGGGGAAGGTGGTATTATAATTTCGACAAAGCTCGTTGATCATTTACTTCATTCTGTGATTGATTTAGATGTCTTTAGGATAGGACAGTTTAATGATAACATGAAGGTATAAAGCAATCTTAAAATCATTAATCAAATTAGGCACTCAAAACAAAACAAATGAAATAAACGACGGGATAATAAAGCTGAAGAGTAGGGATGGAAGAACTACGTGGCAGTTAGAAAAAGTCGAGGTAAATGGGCGACACGTAACACGAACATAGAAATAACAACCTTTACAATTATTACTCTCTCTACCTACTCTTAGAATTACGTTATAATATTATTAAAAGATTTATCAAAAAAGCATTTGAACGCCACGTCTTTGGAATCCGACTGCTAATTACATTAGCTAGTGGTCAAGTAGCTGGAATAAGCAACGATGAATTATAATTAATATATTTAAAAAAAAAGCTTACCGATATGAGTAAAATCCTTTAAAATCTGTAGCTTTTTTTTCAAGTTCTTGTCACAAAAACACGCCCTGACTAAGTGAAATGACGAGGTAATGATAAAATGTTGGGTGTACGCTGGGGCGGGCGGTGGGCAAGTAGACAGGTTGCGGGCTCGAGAACGAAGCCCTATGTCGTTAATCTGCACTGTTTTGTTTCAGAAAAGTTCAACATTTGACTGTTTCTAGAAAAATAAACATTTTGTATAAAATAAAGAAAATATTAAAGGAACCTTCCTTTAACTTTAAATATTCCTGAATAAGTACCTACGTAATCACCGTTTTAATTAAACTGTCAAATACCAAGCGGTCACCGGTGACCGCAACCTATTGTTCTATAATTGTGTCTGCAAAACCGGTACTCGACGAGTTAAACAAAGTCACTTGTAATTCTGTATTTCGCAAACCTTATAGACAGTCCCTTTGATTACTTGATCACTCCATCTTGATCATTAGTAATCTTAATTTATATCTGTACCTACCCGATCAGTGCATCCTGACGTTTGAGTGCAGGCCGTCACTGCCTGCCCCTAAAATCTCAATTAAAAAAATAATAAAAAAAGATTAAAACAATGACTGCAACGAAATAATGTACTAGGCACATACCGATCATTGACTGGACATTAGCAGCACTAACCTGAAACATATCAGCTCAGCTAAAGGACGAAGTAAACCCGCTCCTTCGTTCAATTTGATGTGATCTTGTCGTTGATAATTTACTTCACTTCTCATTTCCTATTTAATTTCACATAAAACATAACATCACGCCTTTTATCCCCGAAGGGTTAGGCAGATGCGCACTTTGCGACACTTAACACCACTGTACAATGTAACTCCCACTTTTCACTATTTGTATTATGAGTTTCATGTAATAGGGGTTGAGCCTATTGCCACATATCGGGCTCAAATCCAGACTCCGTGCTACTACTGAGATTTTAAAAGATACCCACTAATATTATGCTCGACCTGGGAGTCGAACCCGAGACCCCTTACCTAGCAATTGCACTTGCGACCACTCGGCCAATTTTGCGTTTATGTTTACTTACTTACTCGTTGAAATTTTACTACGAGCGTAGCGGTAGGATTGGCAAATAACTACAATAAAAACAAATCAAAATATTATCACATAGGCTGAAAAATGATATAAAACGGCTTTTAACATCTCTCATTTTCAAGAATGTTAATCCGTATTTATTTATGATTCGATTGCCATGTTAAGTCCCGCGCAGAATTGTTATCTATAAAAATATCCAGCAATGCGACCTTCAATACAAATGTGTCATGGACTTGTACATGTCCGATTATCTATAACTTTAGCAATAAAATAATTAATCCTACTATAAATGTTTCTAATGATAGATGAACATTTCTTGCTTTTATGTAAAAGTTAAGAAAATACCACTACAAAGTCTATATTGAAATTATAATAGATTTTAATCGAAAATGATCGGATTAGGTAAGATCAAGGACTTTGAAAGAAAATGGCGGAAATAATGGGTTTCCAAGATGGTGATGAGTTTCCAAGACTTAGGAGAATGACGTACCCTATCTCCTTCGTTTTAATGTGTGTATGTCCTGTGTGTAAGTCTATAGTAACCAGGTGCCACAGATGTTGTTTCAAGAAACTGGTTTCCGCCTTTTTAACATCGTCCTTGGGAAAGATCGATTTTTGAAATTAGGTACTTAGATGGAATTTCTTTCAAAAACCGAAACTGATACAAAGATTTTATATTAAGGTCGGGTATTAATTTTGGCCGTTACCCAAAAATGTGGGTGAAACCACAGGCATGGTGCTAGTAATGAAATGTTATGTTTTCACCCTAAGGTTTAGAATCTCTGTCACTTGTGGGGATTCAACGCTTCATGATATTTTTGTCGTCAGGTAACGCATATACTTAGTACTTGGGCGGTATTGAAATAAGTCTTAGTATTTAGACTTCTGAATATCTTGCAAACATTTTCATGTAATTTAGAATTAAGTAGATGATATATTTACGTTTTGAAGCATAAGAATACATGTGAGTTGGCTCAGAACTGTAATCAAGAAATTTCTATTCGTTGATACGAATAGAAATAGATAGTCGATATAGATATAATATTTAATGTAGTAAGTACGAACGTCATTCGCCTATACGTATAAATTCAGACATAGATTACCGGCGACGAGATTTATGTAATTAACTGATAAGATAGGAATAGTTTAATGAAATACTTTGATTACTCGATATAGCTGTTTATTTTTATTTTCTGAGGTAATATTACGGCGGTGGTTGAAGATTTTTAAACAAATTAACGGCAGTTCACAGGCACAGGTATCTTTTAACACACCAGTTCATAATTAATACACCAATTCATAAATAAAGCTATCCTTTATTTATAAATTGGTGCATGAATTTATAAACTCCTTTATAAACTAATTGGGATTCCATAATGAAATCCAATAGACATTTAGCTTTGTTTTACAGTAAAATATTTCGTTATAAGGAGGCAAGATGAATTGAGATTTATAATATATCTAATACGTATCTATACCTACTCTAGTAATCTACATAAATAACTCAACTAAAACAAATATGGCTTACACTTACACTAAAATTCTTAATAGTTAAGCATCTTAAATCAACGTTATTGAAATTATATTAACGAAATGAATCCATGTTCTATTTGACTTAAAATAAATACCCTAAAATACGTCTGAATATCAAAAATCTTCCGATCACAAGGCTGCGATTATAGTCTTGGTATAAATCAGATGAAATTATTTGAGAACGGAACTTAACTAAGCTAACTTAAAGTCTAAAATATAATTATTCGTCAGCAACGTGTTTCTTTTACTTCTGACGATACACTATTAATATCGGTATCTTCTATTGGGGTGGGCGCTCTGGCCAGTTCAGTGTCCATACTGCTCACAGTGCAGTCACTGTTCAAGGACAACCTTCGTACATCAAAAGTAGAATATCTCCTTAAATCGTCTGACGTATTACTATATCTATGAGCCTTCACAGCGAAGTACCGGCTCCTATCTTCGATTCTATAAAAGTCCATGCTATTCTTTTTCTTAATCAGGTTGAAGTTTTCGTCTAAAGGAACGAAGTATGTTTTTACGTAGCCGGCGCCTTTCACGAAGGTCTCTCCGCGACAGGTGGTGAGGATGTCGCATTCGTCCAAAATGATAGCTGTGTTTTCTGTCACCTAGATGGTAACACACGATTAATTTGTTAGTATCTTCATTTAAAGCTGTATTATGAACCTCTCTCAGAATTTGAACATACCTGTATCTTGCCAGATTCGCCAGTAGAATCCATTCTTGACGCCATGTTTACTGCATGCCCCCAAATGTCGTATAGTGGCTTTTGTGATCCCACTACACCAGCAGCTACCTCCCCGTTTGACATACCTGATTGAATGTTATTAATTACTTTATCAGTCGTACGAGAAAATTTCCATACAGGTGCAGGTGCTGTTAGTCATAATAAGTTTATCTCTGATTAAGACAACGGTCGTGTGTATTCTAACTCGGTACCAAAATGAGGAATAAACGCCAAGAAATGCAATGCTATGATAAATTTCTACTCACCAATTCGCAAGTTCAGGCCCTCGAAGCTTTGAAACGATCCTCTATTAAAGTTCTGTAATTGCATCATCATTGCCGCTGCAAATTCTACCATGGTTAGTACTACTGCTCGACCATAGGGGCTGTTTTGCCGTACTTTACTCGGAGGTGTATCTATAGAACCAGACCCAAGAGGATACGAGTCTTTAGATTCTCTTCTATTTGGGTCTAACCCACAGGCAGCCATGTAGGTCCATCCAGCCATTTTAATCTTTTCCACTTTATACTCAGAAGCTCCTGTAAGCAACAGCTGTAAGAGAAAAAAACAATTAAATTGTGTGATTATGATAACAGATGTAATTTTAATATGGTTTGTTCTTTATTTGCTTACTTACTCTATCAAAATCAGATATGATTTCATCCAGGATACTCAAAAGGAATTTATCACTCATATCTGCATCGCCTTCTATGCCCAACTTGTAATCAGTTAAAGACGCAAACATTACTGCTACGTTGTCATACTTTTCGTAATACAATTCATCCAAAGATCTGTTTAAGTTCAGGTAAACTTGAACTGGAAATACATGAAAATATTAACACACTTTCAGTAAATGCCAGGTAATAGTGCCTGTGCGAGTGAACATCTTTCGGTACGTACCGACGTGAGCTGGTAAAATGTTTTCTAGAAGCATATTGTTTACTTTTAACATAGTCTCCGCTTCATTTTGTTCTTCACTCAATTGTAACTGCCATAAATGATCTAATCTGTTCCGAAATTCAGTTGTTCTATCAATCCAGTACAACGTAACTGTTATGATGACGACAGCTAAAGTGTGCGATATTCTAGGGTCCAATCCTACGTTCCAAGTCACGTCATTGATAAAAAGAGAGGTTTTGATCTCCCATACAATCCACAGATAGAAGGTGGTCATGACGGCAGCGATGATCCATTTGAAGATAAAGAAAACCCTGCTGAACAGAAAGTTCAAGAGCAAGGCCAAGCCCCAACACTGGGTCACATGCTGAAAAAGAAGAAGCGTTAGCACCTATCGTATAATTGAAAATATATGAAAAATAAAATAGGTATAGAAATGAGATTACCCACGAAGATATACAATTTGAGAGAACACTTTCAGCAGCAGGCACCGGTACTTCTCTGCATGCAATCACGTTCACCACAGAAGTAGCAGCAAGTCCGATACTTATCATTAAGTAGATCGCAGTCCTTATATGAGCTGATTTTATGATCTTAGTAGACACGTCAAAGACCCAGCGCAGAAATTTGTTTCGGGGTTCTTCATAACTATTGTGTTTAGTCCAGAGAAATTGAAACCATGTTAAGGGTTGAAGTAAAATAAGGACAATTAGAAGAGCGCCGAGTAACACCCAGGCATACCAATTGAAGCCCTCAAACCTGAAATGGAAGCAGTACTTAGATAAAAAAAATCGCATTTTGCTTTCGTTAAAAGTTTTTTTTGTAGATTGAAGTAAAATTTACTCACCATCTTGTAGTTAGACCATTTATCAAGAACATCAATAAGAAGATAATCAGACAGCAAGTCATGTAATACTTGAACAATGGATCTGGTAGTAGCAAGAATTGCTTCTCCATTTGACAGTTCTTGAACATCAATGTGAATCTGTTCAATTTAGATTCGTTGCGGAAATGTTCTCTAAAAGAAAAAGTTGTTGTATTACCTACTAAATTAACGTTATTTCATTATTAATGGAATTAAGCAAGTACATCCTTTAATATTGCAATATTTTTTTCTACACTTGCATGAAGGAAACCATTGTTTTAATAAGATATCAATGCTTACCTGCCGTGAGTCATATCTTCAATCTCTTTAGCCATTTGAGCATCAGCAGCCTTCAACATTTGTTGATACTCTACTAAATTTTCATCCATAAAAGTTGTGGTCCTACGAACACTATTAGTGTTCCTCTTTTCCGCTCGCTACTAGAAATACATAAATAATATAGAAATTATTGTGTGGTAACTTCTTTTATAAATAAATCTTTGAATCGGACTTACTCTAGTAGACGTATTTGTTTTCGTTATTATTTTGTTGAAGCCAACTGATGCTCGACGGAACGGTCTGTATTCAAGAGACTGAAACAAAAAAATATTCATAATTTATTATTGATGTCAGAATATTTTTGGTGCGCAAATATCATATTTTGCCAATATTTACCCTTGAAGGTCTCGACAGCAGATAGGTTTCCAGTTTATTTTTAACAATGAAGGGATCATTCTGAGATTCAAAATTTGGTTCAATGATATATTCTCTAGCGTATTCCAGCAGTAATTCGAGAGTTTGTTTTGTCACGTGAACTTTTCTGAAAATTAAA